TTTTTTTTTTTTTTTTTTTTTTTTTTTTTTTTTTTTTTTTTTTTTTTTTTTTTTTTTTTGCTCTTATTCATTAGAGATGTGTACGGAGCGGGAACGATCTATGTCATCCATTTCATTCTCGATTTCGTAATTTTTTTTTATCTATTATAGCTTAATGGGTGCTCGAGAATTTTTATTTTAGTTGAATGGATGCTCGAAAATTTTTATCTGTTATTGTTCTTATAAAAATAACTTTAATTCGTAAATTATTATTTGTTCGTCAAATCATTTCATCGACATAAACGTGTGAAAAAAAAAGTGAATGATTTTTTTAATTAAAAAATTAATAATCCAATTAGCACAAAAAAAAAATCTAGGTAGAACTTGGAAGTGAAATTTAGAAAAGAAAAAAATTAATAAATTTATATTTATATTAACCGGGCACATCGGAGAATATTCTAAGTCTCGACCCCATTTATTTAATGGGGAGAAACCTCTCCTCTCTCTCCCTCCTCCATTTTCCGTCTAAATGGGGAATGCCCGTTCAAGGCAATTACAATGGGGTGGGGGAATGCCCGTTCAATGCAAGTACAATAGGGCTCCACCCATGAGAGTTAAATGAACATCTCTCATAGTAACCACCACACCTAAACGGTGAAAGCTGTCTATTTATAATTATTTACCAAATCAAATAAATTACAAAGAAAATGGGAGGAGCAACAAATGGATACATGATATTTGCCTATAATACAGAGTCAGTATGGTACGTATTGTAAATCTTAATGGAAGATTAAATATCTTAAATCATATAAGATATTTGCTTATAATAAATGGTCAAATATGATATTTATGTAACGTGTAATTGAAAGAAAGTTAAATATGATACATATGTTAAACCATAAGTCAAGACTAACACTCCTGCAAGCTGAGTGTCGGATTTGAACGAATGTGAAGCTTGGATTTGCAAAATTTAAAGAGACCGTCAAGAAATGCTTTTTGTGAAGATGTTAATAACTTAGAGATGGGAAGATGCATGCTGTGTGGGAAGTTTGCCAACGACAACAAGTTCTCGAAAGATATGATAATCTAATTTAACATGTTTGGCTCACTTTTGAGAAACGAGATTAGAGATTAAAAAAAAAAAAAACACTTTTGTTGTCACATAAGAGTCAGGGCTATTGTGGAATAGAAACCTTAAGGTCATGCAAAAGATGCCCGAGCCAAAGTTCAGCAGCAGTCATAGTAAAAGCACGATACTCAGATTTACACTTGGAGCGTGAGACAGAAGGTTGCTTCTTGGCACTCCAAGAAACGAGATTGTTACCAAGATAAATGGAATAGCCAAATGTAAAACAACGATTATCGAGACAGTCAACCCAGTCAGCATCCGAATAAGCCACTAGTGCACCAGGAACAATGAATGGACAAAAGGTAAGGGAAAAGTAGCGAAAGTGGAGTGTTCCCTTACCATAGCAAAAAATACGTTCGACAGTAAGAAAGTGATCTACAGTGGAGGCATGAAAAAATTGACTGACAGAATTGACAGCATGAGCAATATCTGGGCGCGTAAATGGTCAAGTACTAAATGGCGCCCAATAAGAGATCGATAGAGAGTAGGATCAGAGAAAGAAGAACCATCAACAGTCAGGTGTTGAGAAACAATCATGGAGTGTGGACTGGTTTGCTTTCGAGCAACTGAGCACGAGTAAGAATTTTAATTGACTAATAAAGAGACCATTAGAAGTGGGTGAAACTTCAAGACCAAGGAAGTAACTAAGAGAGCCCAAATCCTTAGCAGCAAACTCAGAATGAAACTTGTAAGTAAAGATGTCAAGAAGAGATGGGTTGTTGTCGGTAACAATAATGTCATCAACATAAAGAAGTAGATAGATAAGGTTAGATTGTTAATGAAAGACAAAAAGGAACGTGTTAGCGCGATTGCAAGAAAAACCAAGTGTGAAAAGAACTGAGTTGAAACGCTGAAACCATACGTGAGGAGCTTACTTTAAGTCATATATAGAGTTTTCTTTAATAGACAAATATAAGTGGGAAATTGAGGATCAATATACGTAGGAGGTTGTTCCATATGAACATGTTTAATAAGAGTGTCGTCGAGAAAAGTAGGATGATGTATGATAACATGACGATGTAAGTTGTATGATGTGCATGTATTAAATGTCATGATGTATTATGACGATGATTTTTCTAAGACACAACCCTAGTTAATGTTAATGATGATGAACATATGAAGGTCAATGCATGCATGTTACTTAAAGTAATATGTGAACGGTGTATAGGGTTGTGTCATAAAGATGACTTAAAGATGAAAACTATAGGAATCTCAGGTATTTTGTATGCACATATACATCAAGTTACTTCCCCATTTATGATGATAAGTAGAGACACATACACCATGATGATCATCATCATCATCATGCCCCGCATGACACTTGGAGGTTTGCTAACCTCTGGACATCAACTAGGGATAGCTAGCTTGACTATGATGGGTCCAAAGGGGTACAAATCACCTCGGGATCCACACTCACACGTGTTGGTCATGTATAGGGAAGTACTACACATCCAATTTTGTCCAAACTGGAGACAATCCCTATGATAATTTTAACGATAGGTCCCCTATCATGAGTTGCATGTGTTTGCATTCCCTGACCCCGACCCCAATAGTAAGGTCATTTACTGAGAATTTCTTAACATACTCAAACCGTGTGCTACTTTTATTTCTGGTAAAGGCAAGACACCCATGTACAGCTGACGACAACATCGCAAGTATAGACCATGACACGTATATAAAATAGTGGTATTTCATTTTCTTAGACTTAGGTTAGTATAGGGTATTATTACTTCTAATGTTTTATTTGTTTTATTCGGTACTTTCTTTGTTGTTTTAAATATACTTTTGAATATGTAAGTCCATGACTGATGAAATTTTAAATGTTTAATTCTCACGTAAGAATATAGGTTATGATGACGATATTATTATCATTTTGAGCCATAACATACATAATTAATTATTTAATTTGATGACCATATTAAGTATTTATAATTAAATTTTATTAAAATCATTTATTTGAAAATAATTATTAAAAATTAAAAATACTTAATATCTAAAATTTAATGCATATTATTTATAATATATTAAAAATTAAAAATTAAATTAAAATTTAAAACATACGTATAAGATTTATAAGTATATCTCATCTAATACGATTTATTTACTAAAATAATTTATTTGACGATAATTATTAAGATTTATTACAAAATAGTTAACAACAATTAATTATCTATTAAATCGTTGAAAATGCTTATGAAATTTTGACAACATTCTCATATGCATCACCAAATAACTATATTTGATCATCCGACATTCCTTTTCTAGTTTTTTTTTATCCTTATCATAAACAAAACATTGAACCAAACGTGTAACAGTTCAAGCCCACCGCTAGCAGATATTGTCCTCTTTAGACTTCCCCTCGAGGTAACCCACCGCTAGTAAATATTGTCCTCTTTAAGCTTACCCTTGAGGTAGTCTACTGCTAGCAAATATTGTTTTTTTTTTTTTTTTTTTTTTTTTTTTTTTTTTTTTTTTTTTTTTTTTTTTTTTTTTTTTTTTTT